TGACTGTCTGGGCTAAAATGGCATCAAGTTAGAGCAACAACTCTACTTGGTTAGAAGTTCTGGTTGGTAGCTGGAGCTATTAGGAGTGCTAAAATACCTGTGCCCAGAGGAAGGGGTTTGTGGGGAGGAGACCTAAAAAATATGGGGCTTAAAGAGGCCAGTGTAGTGGGTGGGGGGGTGGATCCTGAAGACCATCTCAGTTCAAATCTTCAAGAACAGGTTAGATGCTACAGGCCAAATTGTTTGTACAGATGCACTTAAATAGACCTTAAACTTACAAACTGAGTTTTAAAAAAATCTCCCCTTCCGGTGTGAATTATGGCTGTCTTGAAGAGCAGCGTTCCTTCCTTTGGGCTCTCCATCTGCAGGTTTGGGGCTGAAGGCTGTTTTGAGAAGGCCCATGTGTTAAGGATTCCTGCACTGTGGATCAGCTGGTCCCATAACAGAGACAGTTAGAGTTCTCCAAATGTGTTCCTCGGCCCTGTTCTAGAAAGATTAGGCTGACACTATTCATAAGTAGAGGGCCACATCCATATTGGGGTGTAGTCAAGGGGCATTAACTGGCCCTTCCTGCTTCAGCCTTCCAGATGCCTGATATTACTCCCAACAGAATCTCCCCTTCAGGGTGATTTTTTTTTCTTTTGAGAGAGAGAGACTTATTTTTTGCTATCAGGCATGTGTGCCCACTGATGACACAGAGGAAGACAAAGAGAGAAAGCAAGAAATCACCCCCCAGAGGGGGTGATCACACCGCAATCCCTTCTCCTCCAGTCTCCTCTTGCGATTTTGGGCACCCATGCACACACACATGACCAGCATGAGTTTAATGCCGCTGAGTCTGGTACTTGAACTGCAGTCAGCTATGTGGGAGTCCAGCACCTTAACCACTATGCCACCTACTAGCCCCTCAGGTTGATCTTAAGCCACATAATGAACTGATGCTTTCTTTGTAAGATCATCTGACATAGCCATTAAGACCACCCAGATTTAGGCTATGGCTGGCAACGAGGATGAGCCACAATTTACCAAATATAAGTCAGTACACTTCAGGTTCCCCAAGACAATCCGGACTCCAAATGTCCCCCTGGTTGCAAAGGGAACACCCCAGTAAAACTGTGCCTCATGACTCTCAGGGACCAGAGGGAGGTCTGCCCCTTGGGCTCTATCCACATTCATTCTTCTTTCTTCTGTGGGTCTCTCCCAGGGCCTGCACACCTTGTGTGGAGCTGGAGACATCAGGTCTAACAATGGGCTTGCTGTCCACATTTTCCTCTGTAATACCTCCATGTGGAACAGGTAAGTGGGTCAGTGCTGGCTCAGGGCACCTCTGTTCGCCAACAACTGTTGGCCCAAGGACAAAGGCTATGTCTTTGTTTATAAAGTTTAATATGCAAGTACAATGTTTTTGTTGCTTTTTTTTTCCCCTCAGAGCAATGTTGATATATATTTATTGATAATGATAATGAAGGAGCATTTCTATCTTGACTGACTCCATGACATAAGAAGACTATCATGAAGCAGCAGGTGGCATGGTGGTTAAGGGCGTTGTATTCCCACATGGTCAAACCGTGGTTCAAGTCCTGGACCTAATGGCTTGATTTCACTCTCTCTCTCTCTCTCTCTCTCTCTCTCTCTTCCTCTCTGGTCAAATTAAAATAAAATAAAGATAAAATAAAATAATTCTTTAAAAATAAAGAAGACTATCACATAACAAAATAACCAGAAAAGGGAGGCTGGGGCTCTATCATGCAGGAGTAATTCCAGAGGCTTTTTGACTTTGAGCATGATTGAGTCAGAATAGCCTTAATTTCTAAGGTTCCCCAGGGCAGTCCTTTGGTCCAAAGTCACACTGCATAAGCAGTCATTAGGGCCACCTGATGGTGGCAGATCACTCTGACAGATTTTGGCATCAGATAATTGTTTCCTATAAGCTTAAATTTCCTAAGTAGAGAAGCTTATATACTAACTTTTCTTATTATATATA